GTCTGCCTGTAGATCTCCACGTTGGCCAGATGCTGCTTGACAAGCTGCAAGTCTTCCAAGCGAAACCCTTGCCGAGCAAGTTCCACCTCCAGGAAGAAGTCCACAGCCTGCCGGCGGAACTTGATGAAGTCCACGGCTGAAGCAGCAGTTGGCGAGCCCTGGAGGTAGCTCTTTCCAACCTCATACCAGGAGCGTTCAAGCAACACTTATTGTAAAACAAAAAACGCAAACAGCTGAGCAACGACTTCAAACACAAAAAACAAGCCAAGGTACCGCGTCGCAGCTCAGTTTGCCAGTCGACAATGCATCTTCGAAAAAGCCCAACACCCAGCGCCGCTGTTCGACGTTGCTTGTTTTCTCTATGATGACACGGAGCTTGAGAAGGCTATTGAGCGGCGACTCCAGTCCGAATTGGCGCTCCAACGACTCGAGCTTGGCGTTGCAGTAGTTGTCTGTCAACAGTTTCTCGTAAACCCTTTGACAGTCTGCAACGAAGTTGTCCGCGCCAGTTTCGATCTTGGTGGAGCGAGCCTCGGTGTGCTTCGAGCCATCTTTGAACAGCATTTGCAAGCGCTTTGAAGTCAACGCCTCGCCAAGCTCCTGCTCCTTCCTCTCTTTGAACGCCATGATCTCGTGCGCCCACTGCCGGGCTGACCTCTTGATAGTGTCGTGGCTTTGGACAATCCTTGCACGCGTGACCAAAAATAGACTTAGATATTAATTAGCCGTGAATTGTATGATTGAATCATATTATTATTCAGTTGCCAAGGCGTCCGTCAGCCTAAGGCCTAGCCAGACTTGGCACATTCAAACCGCACATGTTGAATCTCAGACCCAGTCCTCTGCCTCTGGTCGTATGCCTCCCAATAGATTGCATCCTCGTTGCCCAGGACACTGAACATCATCGGCGTGCTCAGCAAGCAGGAACGCCATGATCGCAGCTCTTCCTCACCGGCGCCTGCTGTGATGCGGTCTGCCAGCGCAAACACAGTGCTGTGAGTCAGCTCTTCCGGCGTCACTTGTTTCCAAGATCCGCGCAAAGCAAGCAAGTCCGAGTCAGCTGCAGGGGCTGCAACGAGAATGAGGTCTTTGAAGTGGCGCGGCCCCTTGCCAAAGACAGTCTGTGCCCACTCACGCACCCTTGCGTAGCTCAGCGGCACCCTCGGTGTCGAGTTGCTGGTCAGGTCAAGCCAGAACAAATTGCAAGCTGCCCGGTACACTCCTGTCCGAGCCAATGCAATCTTCGCAGCCTCCGCCTCAAAGACAGCCTGCCACACGGCGTCGCTCTTAGTTCAAAAACTTACAATGTGCTCCGGCAGCATCGCATCTATAATAATTGCAGTGAGAATGGTTTGAGTTGCACATTTGGTTTCAATCAAGCCAACACTGACAGACGCAATTGAAAGTAAGCAGCTAGCCTGCCTGAACGCCGCACTCTTTGGTTTCATCATCCGTGATCAGCAGCGGCATCGCCTCGTTGATCCGCTGAAAAACAGGGTGGCCTTGAATGACAGACATTGAGTCCATCAGCTTCGTGTAGTAGTCCGTGTTGTTCTGGAGCACGTCCGCTGACGGGGCGGCAAGCGACGGCGGGGCGGCTGCACCTTTCCCGCCTGCGGACCGGGCAGCCTGCTTAGCCTTGCTGGCATCAGCCTTTGCCTTCTTCAGCTCTTGCGTGCGGGTGGCGACATGCTGCCTGTGAGCTTCTTTGGCCTCCTGCTCAGAGCAGCCCTGGTTCAGCCTTTCCGCCTTCACCGCATCCGCCTCCTTTTGAACAGAGCTTTCTTCTGCCCGGTTCAGGCGCCACTTGCTTGCCATGGCCCATGCAATGCGATGACCCAATCTCACTGTAAGGTTCAGCTGGCTGTCAGTTTCCGACTTGCATTGTCTGTCGTTGACCCACATTGAAAATTGCGTGATTCAACGCTTGTGAGAATGCCAACAGTCAGTAGACGACAACGACATTTCCTTGAACCGATCATGCCAAGGTCATCAAATAACAAAAGCGCAGTGATGTCTTGTGAGACAAGAATGCAGCCCTTAAATGTGTGTCCTGCTGTGTCAAAACAACCATCAACCATCGTCGGCCCCTTAAATTAAAGCCCTCAGTGTCAGCCCAGCCTCCGCGTCGCCGTGATCATCTGAATCACCCCCGCCGCCGCGGCAGAGGCAATGGCTTCCTTCGGCCTCAGTCAGTGGCAAGCTTTTCAACTGAAAGTCAGTGATCGATATTAAGATGGAGGTGCCAAAAGATTGAAAAATAAAAAATAATAACGATTTGAGGGGGCGCCGTGAAAAGTCAAATAGTTGGCCGGCGGTTTAGGGTTTAGGGTTTAGGTTTCATTGAATTACCAATCAACCTTGCAAACTATCACTGTGCGACGGCTGGCTGAGAAGGACCCCCCGCTGGGGGGGTCCCTCTCGACAGCGCCTGATGAGAGGGACCCCCCCCCGCTGGCACCGCTCAAGCGGCTCAGCGGGGGGGGGGTCCCTTAGAATCAGCGCTTGCAGCGGGGGGGGGTACCTCTCATCAGGCGCTCCCGGAAGCACCTGTCCAGAGAGACCCCCCAGCGGGGGGGGTCCCTCTCGACAGGCTCTCCTCCTGGGAGCACCTGCCGAGAGACCATTGACGTACAACGGTTGCGGGCGTTTACTAGCATAACTTGCATTTTGGGTTGGTTGACGTATAACGGTTGCGGTTGCTGACGTATAACGGTTGCTGACGTAGTTGCGGAGCCGGCGGATTGATTGATTAAACAGAAACAGACCTGGGTTTAGGGATTAGGGTTTAGGGTTTAGGGTTGACAAGGTTTAGGGTGACCCTGGCACCTGCCCTGCGCCTGCGGTCATGCTGCAAAGCGACTCTGAGGAGGACGAGCAGCAGGTCCAGGTTGCAGGGCAAGCCTGCAAAGGCCGCTCGTCGCTGCAAAGTTAGCTGAATCATCACGGCATCAAACTTGCTGAATCATCACAGCAAACTTGCAGCTAAGTCGCCGCAGAAACTGTCTGAAAGACTCCTGCGTCATCGCCACGGATTCCGCCAGTGAAGCCGGACCTGCCGCCGCAGCCGCAGCTGAGGCTGCCATGCCGCCGCTGCCACCGCCGTCGCTGATGACCTCAACGTCAACCTCGTCATCGCCAGCCCTTAGGAACGACGAGCCCAACAAAACGACATTGACTGAGACATGACAATGACGGGCAACAACATTTTGGCTGAGGCTTGGCTTTCTGCAAACAAAGCCACTGAGCAGCAGCAGCGCCCTTCTTCTGCTTGCGGCGCAGCTCGCGAGCCCTGTTCGCTGCCTTCTTTGTTTCCTCCGACGCCATCTCCCGCTCCTTGCGCTTTTTGCGCTCAAATGCCGCCGCCGTGGAGGGCTCGATGGCCTCCGTCAGGTTCAACGTGCCGATCACCTCAATGAGGCCTGGCGTGCTGTCGCGCATGAGCATCTCGAAGGCCGCCTGAAGCTTGCCACCAAAAGACCTCCATGCCCGCGAGCTCAGATTGGGCAGAGGCGACCCCACTGAAGGCGGCACCGGGTGGGCAAGCCGCCCCTCCAGCATCTCGTACCTGGGCTCGCAAGCTGCAAAAAAAACGATAGGTGATATGTATACACACGCACGCACACATGTCTTGATGAGTCTTGCTCTGATGTTTTGTGAATTGATCTAACCAGCTCAATTCAATGAACATGGCAAATTTCAGCCAAAGAGCAAGGTGCAGCCAAGCCCATAGACATCCACTTTGGCCGTGACCGGCTCATCTCCAGCCCAGACCTCTGACGGGAAGTACTCTGGCGTCCCAGCCAGGCGAACCTGAACGGCGCCGCCCTCTTCGACGTGGCCAGCAAGTCCAAGAACCCCGAGAGGGACCTGAGCGCGCTCTCTGCAGCGGAGCTCGGCGACGAGACCTTCCCCGCCAGGATCCTGGAGTACGTGGGCCTGCGCTCCAAGATGTACAGCATCCTCACGGTCCAGCCCGACGGCGCGCGCAAGGAGAAGCGCAAGATCAAGGGCGTGCCGAAGAAGGCGGTGACCAACGTCGGCATCTCGAGTACTGGGAGGTGCTGGAGGAAGGCAGCGAGCGCAGGGCGGCCTTCGCGCAGCTGCGCAGCCGCGCGCACGAGATCGCCGTGGAGACCGTCGAGAAGAAGTCGCTCTCGCCCTTCAACGACAAGGTCTACGGCCTCGACGCTCACAACTCGCGGCCGCTGGGACACTGGCGCAACCGGGAGCAGCTGCGGATGCTGGGCGCTTACGCTCCGCCAGGCTCCGCGCCCTTCGACCTCGTGATGGACTCTCTCTGTAGAGGGGTTTTCCCAAATGGTTTATATTCTACCTGAGAGCCTCCTAACACTCGTCCGTCCAGCATTTGACCTCGTCCTGCGAAGGATTCGAAGTCCAAAACACTGCGTGGAGGCGTGAGGCTGCAAAATAGAGACCCCTAGATATGCTTGCAATTTGGCTCCAGGTTGCATTTCAAGCGAGCCAACCTTTGCAGGGCTAAGAAAAACAAAAAAAAAGAAAACAAGGGGTCCAAAAAAAAGGGGTCCCGAAAAAAAAAAGAAAAGGGGTTTCCTTTGGCAAAGCTTGACATCGCTTGAAATGCAACCTGGAGCCAAATTGCAGCGCATATCTAGGGGTCTCTATTTTGCAGCCTCACGCCTCCACGCAGTGTTTTGGACTTCGAATCCTTCGCAGGACGAGGTCAAATGCTGGACGGACGAGTGTTAGGAGGCTCTCAGGTAGAATATAAACCATTTGGGAAAACCCCTCTAAAGAGAGAGATACCGGGGATGCAGGGATTCCCTGCAGTGTCCCTGCATTGAAATTCCCCCAGGATTCCTTGCTATACGCTTAATTTCTTCAACACAAGTGCCAACACAATTGCCACTCGTGTTCACATTTCTGCCGCGCCAAACCGCGAAACCTCCACTTCTTCAACATGTCGGAGTACATGTCGGATGAACATGTTCTTGGCACTCCGGGTGCGCCACCTTCTGACACATGCTTGGGTACAAATCCAGTCCGGCAGGCCCGGCTGTGGCCCGGCATTGCCGCGCCAACCCGCTGAACCCCCACTCTCCCCCGGGTCCTTGCTATATGTGCTATATGTGCTATATCTTACACGCCAAGCCGCGGAACCTCCACTCTCCCCCGGGTCCTTGCTATATGTGCTATATGTGCTATATCTTACACGCCAAGCCGCTGAACCCCCACAGTCTCCGGGTTCCTTGCTATATGTGCTATATGTGCTTTATCTTACACGCCAAGCCGCGGAACCTCCACTCTCCCCCGGGCCCTTGCTATATGTGCTATATGTGCTATATCTTACACGCCAAGCCGCTGAACCCCACTCTCCCCCGGGTCCTTGCTATATGTACTATATGTGCTATATACTCTGTACGCGCGAAATCTGTACTATATGTGCTATATAGGGCCATATAGCACATATAGCACATATAGCAAGGAACCCGGGGAGAGTGGATGTTCAGTGGCTTGCCTTGTGAGATATAGCACATATAGCACATATAGCAAGGAGCCGGGGGAGAGTGGATGTTCAGTGGCTTGCCTTGTGAGATATAGCACATGTAGCACATATAGCAAGGAACCCGGGGAGAGTGGATGTTCAGCGGGTTGCCGCGCCTGCCTGCGTAGAAGCCTTGCCGCGCCACTTGCCCGGTGTAGACGCCAGCGTACGCGCCGCATGTTGCATGGTTTTTGCATGTTTGCATGGTTTTTGCATGGGTTTTGCATGTTTGCATGACATGACATCTTGTTTTTGCATGATTTTGACATGGTTTTTGCACGGTTTTGCATGTTTGCATGACATGATTTTGACATTGTTTTTTGCACGGTTTTGCATGGTTTTTGCATGACATGATTTTGACATGGTTTTTTGCACGGTTTTGCATGTCATGTGGCTCAACCCCACCCCCTCCCCCCTGTTTTTTTCCTGTCAGGCCGTACGTAGGTTCATCCTGGAGCTGGAGAACTCCGAGGCAGGGCGGTGCCGAGCGGGCACCTAGGCAGTGCCGAGCGGGCACTAGTAAGTAGATGTGCCGAGCTGGCACAGTGCCGAGCTGGCACAGTGCCGAGCTGGCACTTACAGTGCCGAGCGGGCACGTGCCGAGCAGGCACTAGTAAGTAGATGCGCCGAGCAGGCACGGTGCCGAGCGGGCACGTGCCGAGCAGGCACTAGTAAGTAGATGTGCCGAGCAGGCACTAGTAAGTAGATGTGCCGAGCAGGCACTTAACTAAACGTGCCGAGCAGGCACTTAACTAAACGTGCCGAGCTGGCACCGTAGGAGCGCCAAGCAGGCGTTGGCCACTGTGGAGGCGCAGGACCACGAGCAGGGTGGTGCGCAGGTCACCTACCCAGGTTTCCTGTTGACCTGCGAATTTGAAGGAGCTCACCGTTTGAGCTCCTTCAGCAACCATCGCCCAACGGCCCCTTGCCCAACTGGTTCGCCCAATACTGGCTCGCCCAACTGGCTCGCCCAAGTACGGGTTCGCCCAAGTACGGGTTCGCCCAATGAGTACTGGCTCGCCCAACCTCGTTTGATGGCTCGCCCAACGGCTTCGATACCTAGCGCGCCACATCCCTGCCGCGCCACCTGAGCGAGTTTGTGTACTGGTAGCACGGGAAGTTGAATTGAGGGATATTTTCCCTCAATTGCACTCCTGCCAGTCTGCGGCGGAACTCCACGCGGGCAGCAACCAAAAAATGGTTGGTGCCTGTTGCCAGCCGCGCCTGACACGCCAGCCCGCCGAGTCCAACAGGTCTTAGAAGACTTTTCAGCAGTTTCTCAAACAGTGAGAATCTGCCGAGGTCGGGATTCCGAC